GACCTCGGGATTCCATGTTTTTAAGCCCGGGATTTCGGGATCAGGACCCCTCCTACCCCCCTCAGTATGGCAGGACCTAGATAAATAAAATTTAAATGCATTTTAAGTTTCAGAATATTGAAAACTTTACTAGATTTTGCTATTCATTTTTTTCGTTCCTGCAGAAGGTGCCAAAATAAACTAAGGTGGAGAGAATCGGAGACGTTAAGGGCTTGAATAATTCGAGTTAGGTAATTACATGGTCCGAGGACACAGTTATCGTTCTTTGGTTTTTGTTTACCTAAAGTCGTGGTGTGAACAGTGTGTAACTAGCATTTTTTTTTTATAATACACTTTCCCAATTTATTTCTTGATATCTAATGCATGAAATTTTATGTAAGTGGATGAAATTACATATTAAAAAAAATTGGGTGCTGAATCTTTATGTTAACAGAGACATATAAATTGTATTATATGTCTCTGATGTTAAGTAGTGATTTGGTCCAGTTAAAAAAGGTCAAATATTAGTACGTCTGAAGCTGTCTAACTGAATTTGAGACCCCCTTAACACAGAATTGTCAATAATATGAGTTATCTAGAGCGTTAATACGTTACAATTGACTTGGAAAGAGCCGATTTTTAAATTGAATTGATTAATTCAAAAGGCTTGGGCAAATAACATTTGAGAACGTAACTTTATAGCAAGGAACTATAGCGTATGCAGATTTTCTTTGAACACATACGAGGGTCTTGAATATTGGGGGAAAGGGGTGTCTTTCAATCCTGTTTGTCTTTTAATTTGTAAGTCATTTTTTCTCTATTCTTCATATTTTTCTCTATTCCTTATTTTCTTGGCGTCTATTTTCTTCACTTTATTAGGCCCTTTGTTGTGCACTTTTTGTCCATTTATATTCTCTATTCTTCTATAAATCCTATCCAGACCCTCATAAACATACACAATCAATTTGTTCCGCTCCTAACCCCAGTTGACATGGATATAGACAATTGTCATCCATGGGGTTTTTCTCATCTGTTGTGATGATATAACATTGCTAAACGAGTCCGTTATAAAAAAAGATGTGGTAAGATGGCAATGAGACAACTCTCCACAAGAGACCAAATGACACAGAAATTAACAACTATAGGTCACCGTACGGCCTTCAACAATGAGCATAGCATATACCGCATAGCCAGCTATGAAAGGACAAAATACTAGGAGTCCATTACTTCTGATATTACATATAGATATATGATTAATGTATAAATACGCAATCACGTATACGTCCGATGCTAAATTGTTGGCTTTGTTGGAAGGCAAAATATTTAGCCCTATACTGACTGGAACTAGTATATACAACTGAAAACTAGATAAATAATGAAAATCAAGGAATCAATACATGCTATAACAGCAAATCTGAACGAAACCAAAACGCATATTGATAAATTATAAATATACAACTTGCATTTCAGCAACTGTTTTGTTAGTAATTATTTATGATGCAATTCGTGAATAAATTATCCTACACAGTGGAACAAATGGGAAGTCAAAATACGTTAATTTCTGGATTAATACTTCTGCAAAGACGATGTCATTATATTGTTTCAATAAACCGACTTAAATAAAAATCAAATTATAACTTTGTAATGATTATAAATGTTTACCTTTTGAAATAAATTTTGATATATTGAATATAGATACAGAAAAAATGAACTCAAATGTTTTATTTGCATGTATTGTATGACGTATTTAATAACATCTATGTGTAAAGAAACGTTTGAATTGCCCGATCTTTTTGTAAAGCATGCTATTTTGACGATTACGAATTCAGACTCTGACACTAAGAAAAATCTTATTAGAATAAAAAAAAAAATTCTGATCGGCCGTATATAAACCTCCCATCACTTTATTCATATCACATATCAATTTAAAAAAATTCGCAACGATGTCAAAATAGAAAGGCTGACCAAAATGTTCAACTTGCGGCTAATGATTGACAGGTATGATTAGACCTTGAGGCTCTTGTGGGGAACGTGGTGTCTAAAGTAAAAAGAAGATTATTCAATTATTTATTTTAGGACTCGTACGATATGTCGATCTGATATGGAAAATTGTGAGTTTCTTTTAATAGCACAAAGAAATAAGACGATAGAAGGGTAACAATTTTGTAACCATAAACGAATGACTCGTATTTATAATTTACGGGACTGATTGTATCGAAAGTTTGATGAAAACATTCGATTTCAAACCTTCTTGGTTGGAATGAACATGTTCGATGTATATGCAAATAGGTCTTTATTATATAATGTTTTTAATTATCTTCATCAAATACAATACAATATATAACATGTATCTATGATATCCTCCATAAAGAGTAAATACCTGTACAGGTAAAATTTAATTCTGATCAATCGGGTACAGATTGAATTATTTACGACCTTCCACTTGTATTGTACAAGGAATATCACAGCAGGTGTTAATTACACTAGGACAAGTGTCAAATCAGTATGACATCTTGCCGGATAACTGCATCTTCAGTAAAAAGACTCTATTAGTACAGGAACTGATTTCTTTTCTAAACATGACAATAAAGAAGAATTTTATAAGGTGAGAATATTTGTAGTTGTGTATTGCAAAGTTACCACGTGTATTCATCCTGTTCATTGGTCACATTAAAATATATTTTTCTTTATTGAACAATTACCAAATTCGATATTTAAATCGTAAGTAACTTTATTATCTCGACTGAAAAGAGTAATAAGACAGTTTTGTTTATCTGACTGTAAACATTGTATATATCACAACGAGCTATTAATAACCGTCGCTCACGCACCAGTAGTTCTATTGACGACTCAATACACACCAGTTTTATCGGACCAACGGCTAATTCCCGTCGACACTGTATAATGGATTATGTAAACATCTATATACAACGATCTATTAATAACCGTCGCTCACGCATCACTGGTTCTATCAATGACTCAATACACACCAGTTTTATCGGACAAACGGCAAATTCCCGCCGACACGGTAAATCTCCGGATGACATGCATAATTTTCTGTGACACAGCAAATTTACGATGAACCTCTAATTATTTTCCGTTCCGCGCAGATTATCCAAAAATCGCGGTCATTTGCCAAATAGGTCTACCAGTGTGATCATAAGATAATATTCAAAAGTCAATTTTGTAAAAAAAAAATTCCATTTTTTCCATATTTTACTTATAATTGGACTTAGTTTTTCATACATGTGAACCTCCCGACGGGAGTACAATAATCCCGTTTTCAGGGGTCTCCTCCGACCTCCCGTTGAAGAGAAAAAAATCCTGTGTATGAAATTTTTCATGAATGAAAAATTTCTGCCCAACATATCATCTCAGACATCTGGTGTAACTGACATTACCTGAAGTTATATTTTACCTGCAAATCAATTAACATGCATAATTATATGGCTTCACTTGTCAGCTTGGGTGTAAAACATACTGGTAATCAACGATTTTTACCTCAGGCTAACTGCCGTTGTGTAATAAAAACTTAGTGTATTTATTGGGTTACTTCCCTTGATTTATCCTGTTTTAAGTTACTTTCCTTTAAATAATTTAAATTTTTAAAAGAATATAAATAAAATATGAATTGAACAAATAATCATAAAAGGATGGTAATTAAATGATTTTAAATGTCTTAGGACAAATAAAAAAATAATAATGGTTCTATACTTCCTTTCAAGGCTCAAATTGAAATTTAAATAATAACTATGACCCTGTTTCATGTTTGAAAGAGTTTCTGAATATGCAAATAAAAACAAATTGCGTGAGAGAAAAAATAAAAAAATAAAAACTAATTGCAAATGCAGATAGTTAAACAAATGTTCTGATTGCAATGCTTGTTCTATAGAATAATGATATAAAAGATATGAATTAAAAAATTTAAAGAACATATTAAAAAAAAAGAATGTTAGATTGAACATGTACAATATAAAGATAAAGAAACTTTATAAGTACAAGGGTACTATAAACATAATACATTGGATTGAAAGTTGAAGATAACACACTTTTAAAGACAATTTTTACTGCACATGGTTACATTTACGACAAAAGTTATGTCGATTAAAAACCTCCTGATCTGAGTCCTAATCTACTAACCAAAATTTCCCAATCTCCTGATCTGAGTTTCACAGTCCATCACATGTATGGTTTTTCTGCCAGGAAACATTACATTCACTCTGTGGTTAAAGTTTTTGAAATTTTAATAACTTTCTTAAACTATCCTGGATTTCTACCAAACTTGGAAAGAAGCTTGTTTATGATCATAAGATAGTATCCAGAAGTAAATTTTGCAAAAAAAAGTTCCATTTTTTCCGTATTTTACTTATAAATAGACTTAGTTTTTCTGCCAGTTAACATTACATTCACTCTGTGGTTAAAGTTTTTAAAATTTTAACAACTTTCTTTAACTATCCTTGATTTGTACCAAACTTGGACAGAAGCTTGTTTATGATTAAAAGCTAGTATCTAGAAGGAAATTTTGTTAAAATTTAATTCCATTTTTTCCGTATTTTACTTATAAATGGACTTAGTTTTTCTTCCAGTTAACATTACATACAGTCTGCAGTTTAAGTTTTTAAAACATTTATTAGATTCATAAACTATCCTGGATTTTTACCAAACTTGGACAGAAGCTACTTACAATCAAAAGATAGTATAGAGAGGAATATTTTTATTAATTTTTTTTCTTATTTTTGTTGAGTCTGCGATTAACAGCAAAAGTAGGCGAGACACTGGGTTCCGCGGAACCCTTACGAATTTTCATTCATTCAGTCAGATTTTGCATTATTGCCACGTGTCAAGGATTCACAATTATTTCTGAAATTTACAGTAGTAAGACCAGAAAAATAAGATGTGGGGGATAAACTCATTTGTATTTTCCTGTATTTTACAGAATCAAATGATAAAAATAAGTTTTATGATAAAATATGCTTTCTATTGCTTTTTGCTATGTAATTATCTTTTAAATATTATTTCAGGGGAAGGCAATGATAAAGTACAAAGATTCAAAAGATGGCTGTGGTCTGTTGTGGAAAAAATGAATAATCAAGAAAGACAAGATTTGGTAAGATTATCTTCTGCCTGCTAAATAATGTTATCAATTACCTTCACTAAAAAGTATGATTGTTTTATTCTGCTCTCTGAAAAAAATTGGAGGGCATATAGTCATCAACGAGTGGTTTCCAGATAGTTACTTCGAGTTTCCCTTGCTTAATTAGAATGAAACTTACACAGATAAAAGACGTAGGGAATAAAAATAATCCCATTATTTTTAGGGGTCACAATAGATCAAAGTTCAATATAAAAGTAAGCAGATGCCAATGAGACAACTCTCAACCAGAGACCAAGTGACATAGAAGTTAGAAACTATAGGTCATCTTAGGGCCTTCAACAATGATCAAAACTCATTTCAAGGTCACTTGTCAAAACATTTTTTTTGATGAAAAATGGTTTTGGGATGATAGCTTTAGTTTTCCTTGATTTATTGGAATTATTTATACAGATGGAAGATATAAAGAACAGAAAGAAGCTTATTGATTTGGGGGTCAAAATTCATGGTCACTCTTACATAAACTAGCACTATATATATATATATATATATATATGTATAGCATTTATTTTGGATTTCTCTCAATAAATGTGCAGATGGAGGAGCATTTGTTGGCATAACCAACATTCTGCTTGTGTTATACACGTTTGCCTTATGGAAGTGCAGATAGGGAGATCAATTACTCTGAGAAATCGGTCATGTAAAGTTCGCACTGATACATTGTCCGCACCCCCCTTCTCGCCACAAGAATTCAGGTAAAAAAACTTTGCACCTCCCTTCTCGCCACAAGAATTCAGGTAAAAAAACTTTTTGTAACTGTTCGAAACCTTCTCCGGTAATTTCAAATTGTTTGTGATCATTTGCAGTATTTTCATGGAAAAACCCATTTTCCATCATTGAATCGAAGTTGAAAATGCTTGTAAAATGATTCTAGAACACTTCACAAGTGTTAAAATAAGTTAAAATCTCTACAACAACAAAATGAGAAACTTGTGTTTGTTAAACCCAAAGTTCGAATAGCATGTGTAAATGAAAATAAATATGTTGAGAATGTATGGAATATCCGTACTTTATAGATATCACTAGAATACGACTTTGAAAGTAAAACAGTTCCATCCTTAAGTAAAATAATGTTAAACCTATCAATCACATTAATGTATGAAGGATCTTAAGCTAAAACAAAACACATGTGTCAGTATGAAACACCAAAACGGAACGAATAACCGATTACGTTTTGTAGTTTTTATATTGTTATGCATAATCTGGTTCCCGACTGACTTGTGCACTTTTTCCGTTCCGTCAGTAATTTCAAGTGGATTCCAGTTTATTTTATGCAAGGCAGTGAAAACAAAGGAGAAAATTGTAATGAAGCATTTAGTTTTGAAATTTATCAGTTTATATTAGTTATTGAATAAAAATTGCATATTAATATGAATAAGGTTGAATTATTAGTTTTGAAGATGATAAGAGCACCCTCTACAATTTCAATTACAAACATGGCAGAACATAAAAAAACCTCTTCAAATCGAATGTTTCTTTTATTTCTTGCTTATCGTACTCTATAGTCCTCACTCCTGTCTGACAGGTTCAATTTGGGAGAGAAAAAATGCAGACTATACAAGCCTGAATTTGGTAATAATTTTTTCAAAGGTACTACTCAAATAAAAATATGAAGAAAAATAATTGAAGTTCAGAATCTAAGCTAGTAACAGACAGCTTCCTGGCAGGTTCAGTCCAGCTTTGGTATTTTTGACATTTACTATGCTAGAGTTGTTGCTCTTGCTTTTATTGATTTTTATGCAAGATAGGAGGATATCTTAATTTTAAGATAATTTTGTAGTTTTTTTTTTCTCAACTGAAATATAATTTATTCACTCAATTGTAGGTATATTTCTGGACATCCAGCCCAGCATTGCCTGCCAGTGAGGAGGGATTCCAACCGATGCCAAGCATTACACTTCGCCCTGCAGACGATGATCACCTGCCAACAGCAAACACCTGCATTTCTAGACTTTATATTCCGTTATATTCATCTAAAATTATTCTACGAAGTAAACTGTTATTAGCAATTAAAACCAAAGCCTTTGGTTTTGTATAATGAGAAAGACCATTCACAATGTAGTGAATAGTGTTAAATGTTAGCCAATAATGAATTAATTTGCCATTTTATATTGATTTGGACATTGTATTTTGGGAGGGTAAGACTGCCTGAATATTAGTTAGGTTATCTTTACTGTGTAACATCTCTTAATTACTTGGAGATCAACACCAAAAGGATAAAACAGGATTTTATCTTAAATTTTATACTACAAGCATTCAGTCAAAATTTGACAAATACTGGCATACTATAATATTTTTATTTACAAAAATTTGCTTTATTATGATTTAATTAACAGCTATAGATAAATTACAGAGGGCGTCTGTATATCAATGATTTGGGTGTTTTTGTATAATGGTGAATCATTTGATATTTTGCCTCCTTAATTTTGTATTTACGAATACAAATATTGAATTCATTGCTTTGTACAGATCAGTTGAAGAGACTTCAATAAGTATTAGAAAAATATCTTTTATAAAAAGATTTAAGGAATATGTTTTGAATTTGTTGTAAAAAACAGAATAATAATTAATATTATGAGGATATTGACTGTAATCAGTTTAGAATTACACAAAACTTAGTGAAAGTCAACGTTTATTTATTATTGATTCCCATGCTAAAATTGATTATTGTCTTGACTTTGATGTCCTTATCTTTAACTGAACAGATGCATATGATGGACAAATTATAGTTCAGCATTGTATTAAATGGTTCAATTTGATGATAGAAAGTGATCTGTTCAAAATTGAATGTTTCTTAACAAAAAATTTGTTCCAACACATCTAATTATAGAAACTGTTTAATTTATAAACTGTGCTATTATTTATAAAGTTCTGTGAAAATGTATCTTTCAAAAGATTTTATTGGGACTGATAATTTCATGTGTATGATAAATTGGTTCAAATCATATCTGAAATGCACAGACATACTGGACGAATGAAATTGCCATACTTGACTGTACTAAGTGCAAGTATATCATCTTGCAGAGCTAGAGGTTATTCGAAGTAAATATGCTGCTTTCCAACAAAATAGTTTTTTTTAATCATTTGGTCTGAAAAAAAAAAAGCAATATTGTATATTTTCAGCAGATTTTGTATTATAAAAGTCAGATTCTTTCTGTTTATGTATTCAATAACACAAGGATGAAAATAAGGGGGAAAGCCTTCAGAAAATTAAAAAATAATAGTTTGTTGATCCTTTTTCAGCAATAAGTATGCTCAAGCTATAAATTATCATTGATTATGTTTAAATTTTGATAAAAAAGGAATAAGGCAGCTTTTGGCTGATCTAGTTTTGCTCTTACAGTTTGAAATTTTATAATAAATTTTCATGGTTTTCATTTTCAACCTCAGATTTCACCTTTTCCATCAGAATTCACATATTTCCTTAGTTGCTAATGAAGCATGTTTCTTGGTTGACTGTTCATGTAACATAAATGAGACTCTGTCAGTGTCAAATTTGAAAAGTGTGAATCATGGTATGATTGAGTATATAGCTTCTAATGTGTGTATTTAATTTGATCAAAGTGTGAGATGTGGAGAAATCCTTATTATATAACATTTTCATCCCTGAATGATTTGTGTTGAATCTTCTCAAAGAAGTTGTCAAGAATGTATCTGTTATTTTTGGCCAATGGACATTTATTGGTCAACAGTTTATTAATTTGTCTTGTAAAAGATGAAACAATTGATAATTTGAATAATAGAAGTTAAGTATAAATTTCACATTTCAAACCCTGTTATTTAAAAGCCAAATTCATCTTTAGGTTTTTTTTAAATGGGAAAATGATTAAAACTGTCTGAACTAACACCTCCTTGGGTTTGTGTATGTTGAGTCCTTTACGTGGATACCAGTGTATGTTAGGTTGTCAAATTAAATGCTGCTAATTTGACAACAGCATTGAAGTTAACTGCAGTATTTATTGGTGCACATGATTCACCAAATCTTTCTGGGCAGTTTTCTTATCGCGATTTAATTAGAAATATACATAATTTTCTTGATATGGAAGAGAGACCTAACCACAGTGGGTTTATTATTTAAAGTGGTAATGATTTCAGTAGACTTTTAGGATAATCTGATATCAAAGTAGGCTAAAATCCGAAAATGCTGTTACTGAATCATTCTGACAAAAGCTGGCGTCACTTCAGTCTGGAAGTCCACTTTACCAAAGTTAGTGTAAAAATTACAACATTGTCATAAACTCTTGTTTTAATACGTTATTTCAAAGGAATTCATTAATCAATTAACCCCTTTTGGCTGATGACTTTGCCAAATTAAGCAGATGTTTGGTTTTCAAGGGAGTTCATCCTGATAGAATGTTTAGAAAATTTGTTTGTCACTCATGGCTCTTTTAACACCGATTTTAATATTAATTCTCAATATTTATGTAAATTTCAATATACATGGATAGTTGTCTATATGGCAATCATACCAGATCTCCTTATTTTTATATTTAAGCCCTTTTCCCAAAAAAAAAGGAAAGAAAATATTTAACAAAGGTCGATAGGAAATGCATTGGATCAGCTCATGTAGAATATTGTTTTTCCCAGAACAAAATAAATATAAATCATTCATTTAGATGCAGTAAAAAGTGGTGATTTCCATGTGTACAAGTAACAGAGTTAATGGTCTGGAAGTGTTAGCTAGTATTTATGGGTTACCTGTTTTAAACTAATTTTTTTAAAACAAACCATTTTTCTAAATACAGGGCAATTTTAAAGTTCTTTGAAGGGGAAATTGTAAACCTGTAGGTTTAAATAACTTTAAACCACACATCTTTCTTAAGCAATGAAAATTTGACTGACAAATACCTAAATGTATTTAAAATATGTGTTACTAAGAGTTCCTGATTTTAATGAACCAGATTTTTTTTTATATATTCTGAGGGATCAGAGACCTTTGTAATGTTCATTCACTTTTCACTTACATCATTACTGCCATCTGTGTTCTAGGAATTTTAAGCCAGATGCTGTAATTTACGTTTTGCTAAAAATCTCTCAGAACCCAAGAGATTGTGTATCACATGCATTTAAATTTTGTTGTTATTATTATAGAACTGTTTTGTATACATTTTACTTACATGAAATTTGATGTATGACCATCAGCAGCAAAGAAAAGCTATAATGAATAAATGAGTGAATCCAGTGTTGCTGTTTATCATTAGTGCAACATATAAAACCATGACACTATTAAACCAGTTCACATAAACAACTGAATTGAGTTCAATAATGGGCATTATTTTACCATTGTCTGATTATCATACTATTATCTTGTTTGAGCAGCAATACAGTGTTAATTTTTTTCTTCAGTAAACCAAGTAAAACCATGACACTATTAAACCAGTTCACATAAACAACTGAATTGAGTTCAATAATGGGCATTATTTTACCATTGTCTGATTATCTTACTATTATCTTGTTAGAGCAGCAATCCAGTGTTAATTTTTTTCTTCAGTAAACCAAGTAAAACCATGATACTATTAAACCAGTTCACATAAACAACTGAATTGAGTTCAATAATGGGCATTATTTTACCATTGTCTGATTATCTTACTATTATCTTGTTGGAGCAGCAATCCAGTGTTAATTTTTTTCTTCAGTAAACCAAGTAAAACCATGATACTATTAAACCAGTTCACATAAACAACTGAATTGAGTTCAATAATGGGCATTATTTTACCATTGTCTGATTATCTTACTATTATCTTGTTGGAGCAGCAATCCAGTGTTAATTTTTTTCTTCAGTAAACCAAGTAAAACCATGATACTATTAAACCAGTTCACATAAACAACTGAATTGAGTTCAATAATGGGCATTATTTTACCATTGTCTGATTATCTTACTATTATCTTGTTGGAGCAGCAATCCAGTGTTAATTTTTTTCTTCAGTAAACCAAGTAAAACCATGATACTATTAAACCAGTTCACATAAACAACTGAATTGAGTTCAATAATGGGCATTATTTTACCATTGTCTGATTATCTTACTATTATCTTGTTGGAGCAGCAATCCAGTGTTATTTTTTTTCTTCAGTAAACCAAGTAAAACCATGATACTATTAAACCAGTTCACATAAACAACTGAATTGAGTTCAATAATGGGCATTATTTTACCATTGTCTGATTATCTTACTATTATCTTGTTGGAGCAGCAATCCAGTGTTAATTTTTTTCTTCAGTAAACCAAGTAAAACCATGATACTATTAAACCAGTTCACATAAACAACTGAATTGAGTTCAATAATGGGCATTATTTTACCATTGTCTGATTATCTTACTATTATCTTGTTGGAGCAGCAATCCAGTGTTAATTTTTTTCTTCAGTAAACCAAGTAAAACCATGATACTATTAAACCAGTTCACATAAACAACTGAATTGAGTTCAATAATGGGCATTATTTTACCATTGTCTGATTATCTTACTATTATCTTGTTGGACCAGCAATCCAGTGTTAATTTTTTTCTTCAGTAAACCAAGTAAAACCATGATACTATTAAACCAGTTCACATAAACAACTAAATTGAGTTCAATAATGGGCATTATTTTACCATTGTCTGATTATCATACTATTATCTTGTTGGACCAGCAATCCAGTGTTACTGTTTTTCTTCAGTACACCAAGTAAAACCATGACACTATTAAAAACAATCATCAAAGATATTATTGTGTACACCAAAAGCCCGTTTGGTTTACAATAGACTCATAACTGGCACTCGAATAAGTATAGTAATGAGACCAAATAAATTATGAAGATTAAAAGCACTGAGGACCCAAAATTACTAAAGGTTATTATGGTTATGGTGGTGGAAGACTGCTTAACGTCCAGCCTCATATTAAATGCATATTCAGGAAGAGAACATGTAATATAAATATACTAGACCAATATACTGAGCTATGCCAAACACACCTAACTGTAATGCTATTTCTTTCGATTGGATAAATCATTGACCTTGATTAGCCTATATACTCTCAAGTCTGCCAAATCTATATTAAAATCCTACTCTAGCCTATATTCTGTGTATTTGGTCCTTGTCAGATAAGTCATTCAGACAACCCTCATTGTAAAGGTTTTTTACATGCAGAGAGTTGATAATCTTTAACAAGGGACTGAGGACTTTTAATACGTAAAATTGTAAAACCATTTAATAGTAAATACATATATAAAAAAAAGTATTCACAAAAATAACGAACTCCAAGATAAATTTGAATAAGGGAAAAGTTCATAAACCTGACAAAACCAAACGCTCGACAATATTAACCAATGGAGCCAATGGAAACTAATTGTCATCTTCCTGACTTGATACAGGTATTTTCTGAAGAAAATAAATGATATTCGTCAATACTGAAGATTGCTAACAGTAAGAACTATTGATTCTTTAACCTTTGATTAAAAATAAAAACACATTTTGTTTTTCTGATTAGATTTTGTACTCAATTTTCATAACTTCATAAAACGGGTCTCACTAATTAGCGACAAAAAGCATCAAGAAGCGACAAGAAGAATAATTTAGCGACAAGAAAATAAATTCATCGTCAAGATATCCAAATAATCATTATTTGAAATAAATTTATAAAGAAACATGCATTAAAGTGTTTGTGTATTTGTTTAAAATATACGTGAATTTTCATTATTTCATGATACTGAGAGAAGAAAATAAACATTTGTTTATTTGTTCTAGAAAGATTTTTTTTATTATCAAAGAAAAGTCAAAGTGTATAAATGAATGAATCGATTATACATGTATGTAGAGTCAGCATGGTTGATATATCAAAGAAAGACTCAAATCAAATTATAAGATAATCTAATCTTTATTTATTTCACTAAAAAGGTCCATATATATAAAAAAATATGTATAAAGGATGGGATATGGGATTGTTGCAAAATGTTCAGATTGATACATACTTTAAAATAATGTAATAAAATAATTTTTACAAAAATTCATAACAAGACTACTGTACGTAGTGCTACTAAATGTAACAAAATTTGAAGCTTTATAAACAGCAAACAATCAACTGTAATTAATTGACTTTTCTAAAAATTTATTGTTTTAACATATTTAAATAGTATACAAACTTTCTTGTCACTAAATTTGTCTTCTTGTCGTTTTTTTTTTCTTCTTGTCGCTAATTAGAGAGACAGCATAAAACTAATGACAACACGAAACTAACTCTGACAATTTTAATACTGGAAATCTTTAACATGCAGTTATAAAAATGTACGTCGTGAATTCAAATGGCGTATGTATAATTCTTGTATTTGTTCTGCTTTGTTATTATAGTCTCTTTTGGAAATGAAACAAGTTTATACCAATTCTATTTCATTAAGGTAGCCTTCCCAGCAAGAATAACTGGGGAATTTTATGTGTATCAATCCACTGGTATTTGAGGGTATGTCAACGACTGTACCGATACTTCTATGTGAGACTCCAGGTCCCCAACCTAAGGTCGGTTTCTTTACACTAGATTTCACACGAACTCTATCGTCCACTTTTATGTTTGGTTTTACTTCGGCGCCATTGAATTTTTCCAATTTAAAACTTCCAATCAGCTTTTCTATTGTTCCAGATTTCATTGAAGCTGGAAAAAACTTGGCATGTGCTGTTGATTCCTTGTCAAAGATATCAAGGAGACTTAATTCTTTCAAAGTTTTTGTAAAGTCACTGAATAAATCCAAAAGAATGATATCGTTTTGTCCATCAATCGAACTTTTCATTTCATTTAGTAACTGTATGTCATTTTCAATGGCAATTGTATTTTCAATCTTATCAATTTCATCTTCCATTTTACAAGATTCTTTCGATTTGTGCTCATCAATAGACTTGAAGTAAGAATCTTTTGTGTCGTTAAGGGCTTTTGTGATGACAGCCACTCTTTCTGTAATATCTGTTTTAGCATTGTCTACTTCATCTTCAAAGTTTTTGAGATTCAATCGAAACGAGATAATTTTCTGTTTTGCTCTCCTGATTCTGTCTTCAGCTACCTTGACTTCTCTATCCAAAAGTAACCTCGTTTTTGAAGCTGCAGCATCAATCAGACAGAAATCGTGTTTATTGTGTGTGGTTGGCAAACAAATATTACAAGTCAATGATGAACACGTGTTGCAGTAATAAGTATACTTTTCTCCATGTTGTTTACAAATAGGTGTTTTCACTTCCGGGTTGGCTCTATCAGCATCTTGGAAAACATGATTCACGCACGATTTAGTTTTCAAATGTGATATTTCACATGACTTACAGAAAAGCTGTTCACAGTCCATGCAAAACCTTCTCCCAATAGAATTGTCACATATTTCACAACAGTTAACAGGACACTGTGCCATATTGATATTATCTGCAACGTAATATGTTGTTAGTTATAATGTTCCCGGATATTATCTGATGTAAAACACACCTATCTATGAAGCTAATGTCACGGTCGTTATTCGGTTGAATAACCAAGGCAGAGATAGTCGAGATTACATTGATGTTGATATATTTGACATATGTATCGATATTAATTTGATGTATTTGTTCCTGGAATGCTTACTATTTGTCTCGCCTTGACGGCGGCGGCGGCGTCAACAATGTATTAGTTTGTGATTAGGTCTAGTTCATGGTGAACCACTAGTGGTAGGTCAATGATATTTGGTATGCAGTTGTATTAGCATTGGCACATCTCATTACCATGGAGATTATTTAACCCCACCCCCTCAGTCAAGGTCTATTGACTTTGAAACTTTGCTTAGTTTACATGTATTAGTTTGTGATTAGGTCAGTTTATGGGGAACCACTAGTGGTAGGTCAATGATATTTGGAATGCAACTGTATAAGCATTGGCATGTCTCATTTCCATGGAGATTATTTGGCCCCGCCCCCTCAGTCATGGTCTATTGACTTTTAAACTTTTGCTTAGTTTACATGTATTAGTTTAATTGTGATTAGGTCAGTTTAAGGGAAACCGTTAGTGGTAGGTCAATGATAATTTGTATGCAGTTGTAGAAGCATTCGCACATCTTACTTCCATGGAGAATATTTGGTGCTTACTTCTCAGTCATGGTCTATTGACTTTGAAACTTTTGCTTAGTTTACATGTATTAGTTTGTGATTAGGTCAGTTTAAGATGAACGACTAATGTTAAGTCAATGATATTCGGTATGCAAATGTAT